CGCCCCCCCGCCAGTCGCCGCCCGGTGCGCGCCCGGCCGCGCGGCAGGTTCCCCGCGCCCCGCGCCGCCTCCACTCGCTAGCTCAGGCTCCGAGGTCCCCCGAGCCGCGTAGCCACCGCGCAGCGCCTCCTCGGCCTCGCCGCGAGGTCTTTCTCCGGGTCCTCCTCGTCCCCGTCCTCGCCGCCCGAGTAGGCGCGCGCCCCGCGCTCCCCGCAGCCGCCAGCAGTGGCAGCTGCAGCAACTGGAGCGGGCGCGGGCTCAGGCCGCCCGGGGGGGGGGGGGGGGGGGGGCTCTCCGCTCAGGTTCGCCTAGCGTTGGGGCTGGGTATGGGGCAGGAAGGCCCCTCGGAGGTGGCCCTGCCCTTGACCCCCAGACCCCGACGAGCAGGATACTGTGCCCCCAGCCCAGGCACGGGACCCGGCCCCTTCTCCAATATGCTGCACCCTGGCGGGGGCGGGGGTGGGGGCAGGGACGGACGAGTGGGGGTCGAGAAGAACAGCAGGACGCCCAGGACTGAGGGGTTTTTCCAAAGGAGCCCCCTCTGGGGAGGGGAAGAGAGGCCAAGCATCCCAAGACCACGGGGTTTCCGGAGCCAGGAGGACCCTCCCCGGATGCACGCACTTCCCGACCCCTCACTCCTCTACTTGCTTTCTGGGCCCCCAGTGCCAAGGATGTGGCTGAAGAGCAGGGCCACGAGGGAGGCTAGTAGGTGGTCTGTGGCTGTGACAGCAGCAGGTGGTTGCTCTCCCTTCTTATTAAGTTCACAGGCTAGTTAGGACCCAAGGCAGGGATGGAGGCCCGGCCCCAGCGTGGTGCAGGGCCCTCATCTGAGCCACATAGTTTCTGCAAACCCCATCCCCACACCATCAGGGAAATCCCTCTTCTGATGCTTGGAAACTTTGCACCCTCTGGGTATCATCCTGCCTCAACTACAGGCTGGGCCACAAGTTTTTCCAGGGATAATTAAAACAAAGATGATCACACTCTGCCCTCACTGTCCACAGTGATTTCCCCAAAGTTTCCAGCTCATTAGTTCAGTCTAATTGGAATTCTCAGGTTCCTTTTGGCTCTTCCTGTGGTAGGGGCCCAAGTGAGCAGCCCTGCCCAGTAGAGCTATCTCTGCCCCAGTAGAAGGTCCAGCCCATCAGCTTGAGGGGGAAGCAGAGGGGTTGGGGGAGGCCAAGTTGGGATGAAAGACGGAGTTGTTAGAGGCTTGAGTCGTTTGTTCAGAATACATTCATGGGCTCCAGTGTATGTATTCATTAGAAAAGACTTAAGACAGAAGTTGAAGGATAAAATGGAACGGGTTGAGAGAGTTCCTGAGTATTTAGTACCCAAAACGTAGTTTGGAAAAGAGAGCTGCAGATGGCATTTTCTAGACAAGTGAAATTGTCTGAGTCTCCCCTTTCTGCTCATCGATGATACCCGGGAGTCCAACCACCACTCTGCCATGTACACTCCACACAGGCAAAGGCCCTGGGTCTGCCAAGAGGCCAGGAAGCTGGCCTGAAAGGGCTGCGCAGAGGTGCAAGGCACCTGCAGCTTTGAGGCTCCCTTATTTATGAGCCTTCGGCACGTCTGTTGCTGCTTTTGTGCCTCAGCATATGCCAAAGAAGTTAAGGACTCACCTTAAATCAAGTCTAAGATTGCAATTTAAAAATAAAACACCCAGTAGAATAAGCATTTGCCTGGCAAGCGCAAGGGTCTGAGTTCAATCCCTGGTTCTGCAAAAAATAAAAAATAAAACACCCATAACATAAAAAGAGCAGCAAAGGACAGGACTGGCTCCCAGCACAGTGTGAAGCCTGTGAAATGGATTCCCTCTCTCACAAAACTGAATTTATGCTGGGGCCTTGGTGGACAACAGCCCTAGGGTCTGATCCCCTGGGTGGGGCCGTTTGCAAAGTCCCCAACTGTGTTTCCCTCCATCAGTGTGGTCTGAGCATCTCTCAAGGGGGTGCTGCAAGCTCCTCCACATGCACCATCACCTGCTCTGATTATTACCTCTGCTTTTGTTGAAGCTTCTAACAGCTTCCCTGTTATCCAGAACCTCCATTGGTTGGGAACCACTGGAGACCCTCACTGTCCAAGTCCATTCCGTCCTAGAATGCCCCACCCTCTCCCACCTCTCAGAATGGCCCAACAGCAGAGCCTAAATAGGAATCTGCTTAAATTCCACTAGAAAAAGATGTCACTGGGCCTTTGCCTGCATTCTCACCACACCCACATTGTCTTCAAGCTTCTGCAGCACGTCCAGAGAATCTGGTACCTGGCCTTCCTGATTTCAAAACAGCTTCACCGAGGCACGATGGGGCCTCATACCTTAGAGGAAACTTAGGCAGCTTTCACTGGTTGTGCCCCCTTATAGGCAAGATTGGAGTAAGACCAGGAACTACCCAGCCTACTTCAAAGAGTAATGTAGAAGGTTGAAAAAGAAAACCACACACATTACAATCAAGATGATAATGACAGTGGCCCCCCAACATTGGACAGATCTGATCGTCTGACCCCACACTTGCACACTCATATGGGCATGCGCTGTGCTGTGCAGGGACTCTGGGGACAGGACTGCAGTGCCTGTGCCCACCTTGCTGTTCTGCATCCCACAGCCCCCTGGGCTGGGATGAGGGTCAGAGGCACCCAATGCTGTTACTCCCATCATTGCACAGCATGCCTGTCCGCTCAGCAGCCTCCAGGTGGCAGAGCCCCTCCAGCCCAGGCCCACGCTTTGCTTTGTCTTCCGTGCTTTGTCTTCCACGCATTGCTTCCACGCCCTGGCCTGGGAAATGACCGGGGGACAGAGAAGCACCCATCAGCCCAGTTCATCTTCATCTGCTGTGGTTGTGCCTGCAGGCTGGGAGTTGAGCAACACCTTGAAGCTAGAACAAAAGCAGAGACCTCACCCTGTGTTCTAAATACAATACAGGCTCCGGACTTCTTTCTAAACTCTTTTAAAAGTGCCCCAGGGAGGAGGCAGCCTCTGGGCCATATGCACATGTCTGCCGCAGCATTAAAAGAAAACCAGAGGTTTCACATTTCTAAAGTACTCTGGTACAAACAATCCTAACTCACTTAAAAGAAATAAAGTGCTTAAACATAAGCTGAAAAAGCAGAGTGATTAAAGGGTAAGAGGAGTGTGTAAGGTTATTTGCTTAGACGTTGGCCCAGCAGGGCCATTATTGTATACTGGATTTTATTTTTCTCGCTTGGACCCGATTCCAATGTTCTTCACGTTAATCCTTGATTCTGAGCTGCAGAAGCCCGGTGGTGACTAAATGATCTGGCGCCCTCTGGTGGCTGATCCTTGCACACCACGGCTGGTTGGGGCTCCTTCAAACCGTCTGAAATTTGAGATGGGCAGTGGATATAGCTAAAAAGCGTAAACCCTGACTGGCAAGTGAAAGGTCCTGAGTTGGATTCCAGGTGCTGCAAATAAAATTCTGGAGGGTAAAGTCCCCAGGTGAACCTCTGCAGCCACAAGGGCTGAGGCATGGACTGAGAGGATGTGGTGGAAGGTTACATTTCAGCTTCCCAGGAGACAGAAGTACAAGAGATCTATTTTACCGCAGGATGGCTATAAATGATAACAGTTATTGTACAGTTGAAGTTGCTGAAAGATTTAAGATGTTCCCAGCACAAATACTAAATGATAAGCAGCAGGAGAGGCAACACATGCCAGCTAGCTTGATTTCACCATTTCATAATGAATGTCAAAATGTCTATCTCACACTACAAAGATACATAACTGCTATTAACTGGGGGGGGGCAGAAGAAAAGAAAAATAATTTGCAACCATAGTATTAGCCTAGCAGCGTACCACGGCTGGGATGCAGACAGCTAACGAGGTTCGTGTCACCACCACAATTTGCTTAGCTCTGACTGCAGCTGGTGACCCCACTGTCTTTACACCACTATTCTATGGAGACCCCCACCCTGTGTCAGTCTTCATGTCTTTGTAAGGGAAGAGAGAACAAGGGCCAGCCAGATAGCTCAGCGGATTAAAGCACCTGCTTAGGCAGATGCAGGGACTGGGGTTCCATCCCCGGCATGCAGTGCTGGCCCCTCCCCCAGAGCATGCTGAGCTAGTGATTGAGAGTGGATGTGGTGGCGCACGCCTGTAATCCCAGTGCCTGGGAGGCTGAAAACAGGAGGATCACTCAGTCCAATCTATGTAGTGAGACCCTGTAGACCCTGGACTAAAAATAAATAATAATAATAATAATAATAATAATAATAAAAGAATAGTAGCCCTGGGGCTGGTGAGATGGCTTAGTGGTCTAAAGCACCTACTTAGAACAAGCTAAGCTAAGCAAAGCACAGGGACCGCGGTTCAATCCCCCAGCACCACATGCCAGCCAGCCCCGCCCCCTGGTGGGCTGAGCTGGCCACACACACACACACACACACAATTAATTAATTAATTAATTAATAAAAAAAAAGAATAGTAGCCCTTATCCCACTTTCCAGAGGCTTGGTTTTGTGGAGTTTCTTGATACGAAGAAAAACCTGCTGCTTCTGAAACTTTTTTTTTCCCCCCAGAACCTGGAATTGAACACAAGCACTTACTGTACTGAGCTAGCTCTCCAGCCCCTAATTT